AGATTTTAAGGAGATAGCAGTTGTGTTAGTTGCGTTCTCAAATTCGATTATGATTACGACATCCCTCTTCATAGTTCGAATTGAGAGAAATGGCAAATAGTTTGAACATCCGGAACTTATTGTTGTAAGTTCTGAATAGTTTAGACACACATATGCTCTTTCTAATAAAAGGTGTATGAGCTTAGATAAAGGCTTATCGAAGCATCACGTATCAGAAAGAAAGTCAATAAGTATTGATTTCTAGAAGTTCAGCTGATTTCTGAGTACATGTCAAATCTAGTGGGAGCATAAGTGTTATGCTAGTAAGAATATAATTATCATGATAGTGGGAGCATGATTATTATGTGAAGTGTTGCAAGTTAGAAATACTAGTTATGGGAAACAAAGGTTACACATTTGCAAAGATGCAAAATTTGAAAAGTTGTTTCGCTATAGTAAGGGAGAGGATACTTATACTTTATTTCGAATCGAAAAGTTTAGATTGAAGTATTAATCAAACTTAGTCATGGATATATATGAATACCATCTTGAAATTCTATATATGGAAATATTATAGCAAGAGAGTGGTCAAGTATCACGTCTTTATGTAAGACATTATGAATGGTATCCCATATGCCTCGGATATAGGATCGATTGCATATCCTATAATATTCACGTGTTTTAATTTTCCAAATGCCTAGGGCATTAAGAGGGAAAAAGGACAAGAACCGGATATGACTAAATTTATTAAACAACTGTCAAGGACGATTTGAGGTTCGCTAAGGATTGGTTGCTTAAGGACAGTTGGAAGTATATAATGAATGGACCATATTGATATAATTCTGAATAGATATGATTCTATTTAGAATGGATAGTCATATGGAAATCATGGAAAAGTTTCCATAATGGGAGTTAGATATCAAGAATCTATGAGTAAGTTAGAAACTTTTATGCAAGAAGGATGTTCAAAGGAATGTGCTTTGAATATGAGACTTCGTTTCTATGGAATTGTCTTATAATAATCTCCAAGGGAAAGTTTTGTAATTGGCAAAGTCTCTGTGACTTGTGTACATAGTCGTTACAAAAGGATCACTGCATATAAGCTTAGAATCTAACAGATTACAGTAAGTGGCAAGGACTTGGTATTCTTACACTTACGATAAGGATTTGGAATTGTGAAATGAGTGTCATTGGAAATGTTTACAATTGATCTATTTAACAAAGTAAGGATCGTAGGTAAACATAGTGTGCATGCTTGGAGCATGGGATGCCTATTGTTTTAATTCAAATATTCAGTTGATTAGTCGAAACATAATACAATGAATAATGTGTAATCAATATGGTGATTAAATAAAAGGTGTTTTATTTATACTCAAAAGTTTTGAGACCATATTGGATTAGATTATTCTTGTGTTTCACTTCGCATGTTTTGACTTCCCGAATAATAAGATTATTCAAACATCCACATCATACTTTGGAAGTAGGTATTGAAGTTAGACTGTCATGAATCCGTCTGTACATTGTCTAAAGTGTTAGACGTAGCACAAGTTTGATGCAGTATTCATGAGTACTCGTGTAATAAGATTTGAGTATTGGATTAAAGTCACGCTCATCTGAATCACTTCATGGATTTTATCACGAGTGATTGTGAGACGATAATATCTTATATTCTTGAAACGGAGAGATATGAGTTGCAGTTTACAAGTCGGTTGCACATTGATGATATGAAAACGCACCAGTAACTTGGTGTTATAAAACGTATTGTTGTGTGTGATTTGATGAGTAAATACAGCAAGCATATGAGTCGAAGTTTATCCGTTCCTTTTACCCTAAGAGGGATAAAAGAGATATATATGGGCCCCTCGATGATTTAGTGATGACAACCCTAAGTGCTTCGCCATGTCTGGACTGATTTGACTTGTTCAATTAGTCGGTCATCATAAATCGGAAATCGGGAAACAACACATGAACAGAGAGAATGATTATAATCAATGTCTCAGTTCATACGATATCTAGAATGGAGGAATATATGATCCCTTATCTAATGGATGCATCATTGACTAGGTCAGAGTTCGACAACGGCTTTTGAGAGCTACGATTGCTAGTCAGGTTTTGAAGTCGTACTTGCAGTTATAGTTATAAGACTGATCCTAGTGGGAGAGTGTTGGATTAGGTATCTAAGCCCATAACTATAATTGGTATGTACTTGAACCGAGAGTAGCATGGTCTATTTGGGTTGCCTTCACCAGAACAATTTGATAGGATGGATATTTGAGAAAGAGGTTATTTATGATTTATTAATATATTATATGAATAATATATTAATTAAGAAATCATATTATTTAATTGGTATTGATCAAAAATTAATTTGGAATTAATTTAGTGATCAAAAGAGACTAATTAAATTAATGAGGACTGATTAAGTAAATCAGTGATACTTATAGTTCGAGCTAATGATCCGTGTTGATTATGTGGACTAAATCTTTGTGGAGTCCATGAGGATTTCGTCCAAAGGGCTTATCATATTGATTATTGGATTAAAGGCCCAAGGAAATGGATTAGGATTTACAAGTTTAAACTCTTGGTATTCTACACTATAAAAATAACCCTTAAAACCCTAAAATAGGCACTTGTGCATTCTAAGAGAAGCCTGGCAGTTTTTGGTGGTTCATAACCTCTCTCTCAAGTTCCTCATTTTGTTCATGGTGTTTGTGACTTGTTTGAGGCATCACACTTGAGGTGGTAAGCTCTTGGAATGCCAACAACTAGAAGCTACAAATAATTAAGAGGTATTCTTTTAACTAGTTTTATGATTCATGTACCAAATTTGTATGCTAGATAGGTTCATGCTTTGGATAATATTTTTGTTGCATGTATAACTAGAGAAAACTTAGATCCAAAGCTATTAGGGTTGTATGTGCACCATAGGAGTGTTATAGTACACAAAACCCACCAATAATATATTAAATATTAGTAATAATTTAGCTAATAAAAAGGAGGAAATAAAAGTTTACTATGGATACCTACACAATTATAATTTGTAGCAAATTGCCTACAGAATACCTACACAATTATAATTTGTAGCTATTCTGTAGGAAATCTGTCACTAAAATAGGGCAACCATTTTTCATAGACAATCAGTCGCTATTTCGTAGGTATTTTCCTATTGATTCTGTAGGTATGTTTTGTAGCAACTTACCTAGTTTTCTAGTAGGGTTGCCATTCATTGTTTATGATGATGCTTTCTACGAAAGACAAATGTCTTTTATCTATGGCTTTTTACTACAACAGGAACTTAAGCGATTTTTTTTCTCATGGTAGTGTTTGTACAATAAATTATGTACTCCATAATAATATTAACATCACCATTTTACAGAAAGAATATGTTCTATGTCTAACATAATTGAATTTTACATAGCACCAACATTCAAGCAACAATAAATTGGAACTGAAAAATAAGGCATCTTGTGGAAGTAACAAGGATGAATTACCTTGATATCTCTTATTAAAATCAAATCACTCTTTAATTTAGTTAGTTTTGAGGGAAAAACATAATTACTTCAACTCATTTAGTTTATTAGAGCGCAATGTCTTCTGATCTCACCGGCCTTGCCGGTTAGAACTCCAATTTGTCCCAT